GAGTCCCGGGATCGAGTCCCGCATCGGGCTCCCTGCTCAGCGGGGAGTCTGCTTCTCCCTCTGACCCTCCCCCCTCTCATGTGCTCTCTCTCTCTGTCTCCCTCTCTCAAATGGATAAATAAAATCTTTTAAAAAATAAATAAATAAATAAAACCCGAAGGACCTACTTAAATACTCGGAAGTCTGAGGCCTGGCAGGCGCCATCTTGCGCTCTCCCTCTGCCGCACTCCCAGCCACCACTCTCTCCCAGAAGGGAGCTTGTGCACACATCTGGTGCCCTGCTTTATGTCTGGTGCCCCAGTTTTTGCAGCAGCTGCCACCCAGGGGACACCCCTTAGTCACCTGGCACAAGTGGCTTACATCTGGGGATCCCATGGGACTGTAGCAAAAGCAGAAACGGTTCTTAACTGGCTATTGCCCCCAGGACATAGCGCGGAGCCAACCAATGCAAACTCAGCCACAACCGCAGGCTTCGTGTGAAGGGGGCCTGCTTGCTTATCTTAAAGCTTCAGCCTGAAGGGCAGGCTTCTAATCTAACACATCTAGAGACCTGTGGGCACTGTTCCTGCCCCCCTCCAGGTTACCGGCATCTCCCAGGAAGGAGCTTATGCACATATCTGGTTTGCGTGGCTTCTGTCCAGAGGACATCCCTGGTCACCTGGCTCCGCTGGCCAGCAGGGCTTACATTCACAGGTCCCATATTGTAACAAATGCAGAAAGAGTTCTTCACCAGCTACCTCCTGGGGCACAGCATGGGGACAGCAAACAAACACACCCCCAGCCTTTCTGTGAGAGGTCTATTAGCTTAGCTTTATAGCTGTGGCCTGAGGGGCTGGCTTCTAATCAAACATGCATCTAAGGTAGGCGCCAACGACAGTCCTCACCAGAGACCTCGAGAGGGCAGTACTGTCTTCACACTCTCCCTCTGCCTAGCTCCAAGTCACCAGTATCTCCTAAAAAGGAGCTCGTGCACACATCTGGTGCCCCGTTTTTGTAACTACTCCCTGGGAGACACCGCTTGACCACCTGGGTCTGGTGGCCAGCAGGGCTTACATTCACAGGTCCCATAGGGCTTTAACAATAATCCCAGAAACAGTTCTTAGCTACCACCCTCAGGGCACAGCACAGACAGAAGCCTGAAACACACCCCCGGTCGTACTGTGAGAGGCCGATTAGCTTCTTTATAGCTGTGGCCTGGGGGGCTGGCTTCCAATTAAACACACATCTGGAGGCCAACTACCATCTTTTGCAGGAAGGGGGTCCAGTGGGCACCATATTTTCATTCTCCCTCTGTCCCACCCCAGGTCACTGGTGTCTTTGAGAAAGGAATGTGTATATACATCTGGTGCTCCAGCATTTACGGCTGCCACTCAGAACATACATCCCATGATAGCCTGACTGTGGTGGCTGGTGGGGCTGCTGTTCACAGGTTCAATGGGACACTAGCGGGGAAAAAAAAAAAAAAAAAGCTTTTAACTGGCTATCATCCCAGGACTCAGTGCAGAGGGAGCAGACAGAAATGCCCATTTCCCAGTATTCCCCTGAAAACGGTATATTTGCATACTTTAAAAGCTACTGTATGAGCGTCTGGCTTCCAATCAGCCTGAATTTAGGTGCTGACCAAGATCCTCCCCTTTGGGACACTGATAGGTCTTGGCACACTTCAACTACTAGGAGTCACTGAAAATAAAGTAGGCGGCTTGGACAATCACAAAGGTTCAAGAGACACCCAAGAGCTAGGGCAGGGTTAAACAATAAGGATCATCTCCTACACAAGACCACTCCTTCAAAACTGAAAGAGGTGGCTGTGTTATCTAATGCATAGAAACTAACACAGAGAACAAAGGAAAATGAAGAAAAAGAATACATTCCCAAAGAAAAAACAAGATAAAACCTCAGAATAAGACCATAATGAAATGGAGATAAGGGATTTACCTTGTAAAGAGTTCAAAATAATGGTCATAAAGATGCCCACCAAGCTCAAAATAATGAATGAACAAAGTTAAAATTTCAACAAAGAGAAAATATAACAAAGTACCAAACAGAATCACAGACCTGAAGAATACAATAACTAAAAAGGTACAAGAGAGGGGCACCTGGGTGGCTCAGTCAGTTAAGAGTCAACTCTTGATTTTGCTTGGGTCATGATCTCAGGATTGTGGGATTGAGCCCCGTGTCTGGCTCTACACTGGGTGTGGAGCCTGCTTAGGATTCCCTCTTTCCCTCTCCCTCTGCTCCTCTCCAACCCTCTCCCTTTCTTAAAAAAAAAAAAAAAGAAGAAGAAGAAGAAAGAAAGAAAGAAAGAAAAAGAAAAAAATAGTACAATAGAAGGCTTCAACAGGAGGTTAGATGAAGCAAAAGAAAGGATCAGTAGGCTCAAAGACAGGACAGTGG